GTTGGAATGTCCAAGGTCTGCCGCCAAAATGTTTGCGTGACCTAGGCTTTAATACACCCTCCAGAATATTTTTGCGATAATATTCGGCATTTATTATTATGCCACGGTCGCAAAATACGAGCGGAGAGCGACCATCGGCTGTTATGGCGCCCCACACCATTACCATGGCCGGCGTTTGAGTTCTGGTGGCCAACCGAAGGTGCACATTTTCAGGTGACCTGTTTGGCAAGTAAACACGATAATTTTGTTTGTTTACAAACTGCTGGACAACGAATGTTTTCCATCGGAGAAAACCAAATTCGCCAGTTCACCACTTTCGGTCAAGCGATGCAACTCTTTAGCTCTTTTGAGTCTATTTTTCTTCTGTTGTGGTGTAAGTTCTTGCACTTTTTCAAGGGCTTTACCCCGAGCTCATATTTTAAAATTTGCCGAATGGAATATTGCGACATTTTTTGCTCACGAGACATTCTTCGCCCACTGCGATGAGGAAATCGAACAAGTAGCTTTTTTACTTTTCGAACCATTTTTCCTGATGTTGCTGTTTTCTTCCATCCACTTCCATGACGTCGGGCTACGCTACCAGTATCACGGTAACGAGCGATGGTAGGAGACATAAAAGATTTATTCACATTTAAATGCTGGAGTGCTCTAATGATAGCCACTTGTGGTTTTCCAGCCAAATATAAAGAAATCACACTATCACGCTAGAATTCTATCACGAATAATTTTTTTTCTGGAAAATTCTCATCAAAATGCTTTTGCACGCTTGTAAACAATATAATGAGTTGTCACTGGAATATAACGAAGACAATGCTGCCAAGCCTAAGATTGGAATCTTCAAAGGAGAAAAAAAGGAAAGTCTTAAACTGCTGGAAAAGACGCCAAATCAAAGAGTTTGAATCCGCTGGAAAATCTGAATTAAAATAAAAGAAAAAACTAAATCTTGATCTGATGAATTTTTAAGGTTTTAAAAGCGTTGAACATTCATTGGAATCGACTCCCATTTTGGGTTTACCTGATTTTGCCTCAGTTAGTAATTCACAGTGGAGCTATTTTTGTCAATGCTGCTGGCAATTTCTCCCTTGCTTCTAAAGATGATCTTCAGTCGGGTATTAAAATGCCTTCTTTTTATATTTTGAGGATATTAGTTTCATTATTTACATAGTTAGCCCCTTACAAGGATTTTAATTCAATCAGATTCAATAAAAAAGTTTTTTGTTGGTATAAAATTCTGGCCTACAATATGTTTTACAACAAGACACACTATCTTTCATACATACAGCCTGTTGTAAGTGCATTGAAGCAGACAAATATACATACACACAAAATATTCACTACCATCACTTTCATGCACACACACACACTCTTAAAAGAGTTAAATCTATAACTTCCCACCGAACCAAACTGTCCGAATTCTGTCGCACTTCGAACCGAAATCGCACGAAACTTCCGTTTTCGGATGCTTATTCGGTCCGGTTTCAAAACGAAAGCTATATGGAGTTGTTGACGTGTTTTTTTTTTGACCGAAGGGTCGGATAGTTATATGTGCGCTTTAGGAAAACGTGGAACTAAATATTCAATGTATTGTCACCGGGTTAGAACCCATTATGAACTGCAAATACCAATTTTTATTAAAATATCGAATATCGGGAGGTACCGTTCTATGAGGGCTATACCAAAACGTTGTCCTATACATACAATGTTTCGCCACCGGAGCTAGAAACCATTATAACCTACAAATACCAATTTTTAGACAAATCCGTGAAAAAATGTGGCAAAAATAATCAAAATATCGAATATCGGGAGATACCGTTGTATGGGGTGTATGCCAAAACGTGGACCTATACATACAATTTTTCGCAACACGAGATAGAACCTATTATTTTTAGACAAATCCGTGAAAAAAGTCACAACAATTATCAAAATACCGAATATCGGGAGATACCGTTGTATGGGGTATATGCCAAAACGTGACCCATTCCTGGCGAAGCGCTTGTTTGAGCTGATCGACACTTTGGTATTTTTAGTGCCAACCTTGCTTTCCAAAATAATCCAGACACAATAGTCCAACGAATTGGTTTCCGGAGGTTTTGGTGGCCATTGTGCTCTGGAAATGAAGCGAGGAACCTCATTTTGTAACCATTCTTGGGTGGCGCGTGCTGAGTGCGATGGTGTTGAGTCCTGTTGGAAAGTCCAAGGTCTGCGGCAAAATGTTTGCGTGACCTAGGCTTTAATACGTGACCTATGACCTACAAATACTAATTTTTAGACAAATTCGAGCAAAACACGTGGTAAAAATCATCAAAATACCGAATATCGGGAGGTACCGTTATATGGAGGCTATACCAAAACGTGGACCTACATGGCCCATTTTCAATACCAAAAGTCCTGCAGACATAATATAAATTTGTGTAAAATTTTATCAATGTACTTCATTTCGTTCGGAAGCTAGAAATATTTTTATAGACGGACAGACGGACGGACATCGCTAAATCGACATAGAATTTTATTCTGATCAAGAATATATATACTTTGTGGGATCTAAAATGTATATTTCGAGGTGTTACACACGGAATGACAAACTTATACCATGCTATGGTGAAGGGTGTAAAAAATTCCTCAACGAGGGAAAAAATTCCTCAGACAATTAACCCATATCCTGACATATGTCAGTCAGACACGTCAGATAAAACTTAAGACTTTACAATTGGTTCGCTGGGTTGTTGGAGAAATACAAGCACGTTTTGTTAACAGTGGCGGGTGTTCTGTTGGGTATTCTTAAGGGTTGCTGTTATCACGTATACGATGTGGCGTTTACGTACTATGATTGCGTATACGCTACGGTAACTGGAATAACACATTTTTAAATAGACAAGGGGCATTATTAAACCCTCAGCCATATGGCTACGCAAGGTGAATTAAAAACACATTATCAATTAAATACACGTAATATTTAGATAAGACTTAGATCAGGCACAAAAGTGGTCATTATTCGCCTACTCCTACTACTGGTATATCCCCCAGAAAAGATCAACATTTTCAGTCATCACAACTCTCATTAATGGGATATTACTTCGCAGTTCTCTTTTAAGTCCGCACACTGAAGGGATATATATATATATATTCTGAAGGGATATATTGAAAATAATAAGTGAACAAATTGTGAAATAACAGGTTAAAAAGTATCGGTTAGTTTTGCGAACAGATATATACCCTCCGCCAATGTTCGTTTATTTAAAAATATATTTTTGACTTGAGAGAAATATTTAGATATACCAAGTTGTAAAGAATCGCAGATTTTTGCACAAGTTGTGAGTAATATAAGTATTAAGACTTGAGTCCCTTTGTGGGAAGGTACCAGAAGGGGTGGGTCGATAACAATCGTCTTCTCACTAGATCTTGTGTTCGTAAAAGTATTGGAATGTGTGAAATTTGAAGAGAATCGGATGCATATTTCGCATTTTATCAGAGTTTTGCTATTAAAATTTTTGACCCCTTTATGGGGGAGGCGCCAGAAGGGGCAAGCCGATACATCCCATCTTCACAGCAAAAGTTGTGTTAATAGATGTATTGGGATGTGCTAGGTTTAAAAGGAATCGGATGCTATTTTTTATGAGCTTCATAGTTATTCAACATTTTTGACCAGTTGTGTGGGAGGTACCAGAAGGAGCAAGCCGATATATTCTATCTTCACACCAAATCTTTTGTTAATAAAAGTATTGGTATGTGTCGAGTTTGAAAGGAATCGGATGTTTATTTCTCATTTTATGAGCTTCACGGTTATTCGAAGTTTCGACCCGTTGTGGGGGAGTTAACAGATGGAGTGGTCTGTTCCATCCATTCTTCAAACCAGATCTTCGGTTAGTAGAGATATTGAGATGTGCGAATATTTGAAGACTATCAGACTTACATGGTGAGATGAAAAAACTGCAACCAACATCAGACTGCTGTCATTTCTAAGCCACTCGTCCGACAGCTGTTAAAATTATTCCAGTGACAGCTCATTATATTGATTACAAGCGTACAATAGCATTTTGGTGAGAATTTTCCAGCTGTTAAAATTATTCCAGTGACTGCTCATTATATTGTTTACAAGCGAAAATGCTTTTTGCTGAGAATTTTCCAGAAAAAAAGTTATTCGTAATGGAATCCGTTGGACTATTGTGGCTGGAGTATTTTGGAAAGCAAGGTTGGCACTAAAAAATACCAAATTGTCGATCGCCTCAAGCAAGCGCTTCGCCTGGCTGGAAATTGTTGTATTTTTACATAAAAGTTATGGTTTATTTTACCCGCAAAATATGGTCCAAATTGGTAGATTTCTGCCCAGCCCTTAATTCTAACTTCATGCAAAATGCCACGTCGATTTGTCTATAATTGTGCCTCAAGCAAGTGCTTCGCAGGAAATGGGCAAAATACCGCAGAGCAACATTCGGACAGCGTGTGATGGTTTCATTGGTCATTTGAAGGCCATAAATCGTGCCAAAGGTGACCAATTCGAACAAATCTAAACTTATTCTAAAATTTGAGGACGACATTTTTTTTGCTTTTATTCAATAAAAATAATTATGGCGTTTGACTTTGTTGCAGTTTTTTTATCTTACCCTGTAGAAGGCCATAAAGTTATTCTCTATGTAGAATGCATCTTAGATTCGGTATTCAAACATAAAACTCAATTTCATCCACAACAATTCCTCAGGAAAAACTACGTCTCTGAGAGCACATATTATATACACTGATTCACACAATGACAGAAATATTGTTGACATGTACAGAAGAACAGAACAGTGTTAACTCTTACAGACTCCCCCCATACACATTTGCACACACACGCACACACATACACATTTATACGCTCAAATCTTGAACACAGAGAATAATACAACGTTAATAACGGTTTGTTGGCTTTTCGTCTGTCGTTCATGCCAGTTCAGTTGAAAAGAAACAAAACCATATAAAATGAAGTATCGACATATTGATACTTTTCAATACAGCCTCGAGCTTCGTGGCGCTAACACCTGTTGAATTCGCGCTCTTAACATTCTTTACCAGTTCATTGTCTCATACAAACGCATTAAGGCAAACACAGGGGAAAAAAGAAACGATAACAGATTTCTATTAATGGTGGTTTTATTTAAAGCATATTTTTAGGCAACAAGTGTTTACTTTACTTGCCACATATGCCAGGACAGGCAACGTATGCGAGTATTCGTCCAAGTGTTTTTGAGCATGTGCGTGTGAATGTAAATATAAAAGCAAAGTGGCATATGTCGATAATTGATTTAAAAAAATTTAATTAAAACCAGATATAAAAAATAAAAAACGATATTTAAATTAAGTTACAGTGCAGCTTTTAATAGATAATATACAAAAGAAGGAGAATATAAACATGTCTGAATCCGAACAAACAAAACAAGAGGCAAATACTACCAATAATGAATCGCAATATAATCATCAAGCCTCAACACTCAATCCGACCTACAATCAACGACGTACCTCTAGTCCAAATTATGGTACATCAAATCGCAGCATGATTGCAGTAATTGTCTATTTGGCCTTGCTATTGGATAACGTTCTATTAACAGTAATTGGTAAATTTATTTTGCGAATATTTTTTGGTGTCTTTTCATGAAATGTAGATTCGTGTTTACAGTGTCGTACTATATAAGGTTTCTAATTTTATTTTGAAATAGTAATTTGTAACGTGTCGCCTTATGACAAATAGGACATGATATGGAAATCTGCTAAAGTTGACAATAATAACCCATACCTGAAATCTTTTTATAAGTGACACGTAATCCCACTTTCAAATAATCGGCTCTTGGAATAAAAGGGTAAAAGTCGAATATTGCTTGTGATAAAAATCGCGAATTCAATTTCGCGATCACAGAGTATTGTTAATTTTTTGATTTTATACGAGCCAAAAAGAAGTATGAAGCGAAAATTGAAAATTGCCTTTTAACTGATGGCAGAAATTAAAGTCGATTAAATTACCCTCCACCATAGTATGGAGGGTATATTAAGTTTGTCATTCCGTTTGGAAGACCTCGAAATATACATTTTAGCCACCACAAAGTATATATAATCTTGATCAGCATAAAATTCTATGTCGATTTAGCGATGTTCGTTCGTCTATCCGTCTGTGGAAATCACTCTAGCTTCCGAACGAATTGAAATAGATTAATAAAATTTCACTCAAATGTATTTGGTATTGAAAATAGGCCATGTACATCCACGTTTTGGTATATCCCCCATATAGCGTTACCTCCAGATATTCGGTATTTTGATGATTTTAGCGACATTATTCACCGGAATTGTTTCCAATTTGGTATTTGAAGTTCGAAATGGATACTACATCCTAAGACAGAAAATTGCCTGTGCAGGTTCACGACTTCATATAGCCCCAATATGACGGCACCTCCCGATATTCGGTATTTTGATGATTTTAGCGACATTATTCACCGGAATTGTTTCAAATTTGGTAATTGAAGTTCGAAATGGACACTACAGCCTAAGACAAAAAAATGTCTGTACAGGTTCACGTCTTCGTATAGCCCCCATATAACGGTACCTCCTGATATTCGGTATTTTGATGATTTTACATTATTCACAGATTTTTTTAAGTTTCGCATATGGCTTATGACAGGTCCATGTCGTCGTATAGACCCTAATATAACAGGTACATTCGGTATTTTTAAGATTTCGGCCCGGCTGAACTTACAGCTTATTTTAAACTGTTTTACTTATTTTGTTATTTGAGAGAAAACTAGTAGAAAAAGTAATCGCTGGAAATCGTAAAGAAGACAACATCCATTCCAAATTGAAATTAGAAACTCTAACAAGTACAAAAACATTAAGTTCGGCCAGGCCGAACTTTTAATACCCTCCACCTTAGGGTAAAGAAAACATTTTTTATATAAAAGTATCTGAATTCAATTCTGAATTCACTTTAAACTTGTAAGACCGTTTGCATAATGCAGTGAGGCCGTTACTAAAACGGGAACCTCTATAGATAATTTTATACTTCAAGGATTGTCATCTATCCAACCTTCTAAAATACCAAATTTGAAACAATTATGTGGGTAAATGTGACTTTGGATTATCAAAATACCAAATATCGGTGGGTATCGTTACATTTGCGATATAGGATAACATGGAACTAAATATTCAATGTTCTGCCACCGGGCTAGGACCAATTATGAACTGCAAATATCAATTATATGAAGGATATATCAAAACCTGGACCTATACATACAATGTTTCGGCACACGAGCTAGAACCCGTTACAAACTACTACCAATGGACAAATCCCTTAGAAAATGTGGCAAAAATCATCAAAAATGGGGAGGTACCATTATATGGGGCTATACTAAAACGTGAGCCTATACATACAATGTTTCGCCACCGGAGCTAGAACCAATTATGACCCACAAATACCAATTTTTAGGCAAATCCGTGGAAAATGTGGCAAAAATCGGGAGGTACCATTATATGGGGCTATACCAAAACGTGAACCTACACATACAATGCTTCGCCACCGAAGCTAGAACCCATTATGACCAAATACCAATTTTTAGATAAATCCGTGAAAAAATTTAAAAATCACCAAAATACCGAATATCGTCTGATACCGTTATATGGGGCTATACTAAAACGTGGACCTACACATACAATGTTTCGCCACCGGAGCTAGAACCCATTATGACCCACAAATACCAATTTTTAGACAAATCCGTGAAAAAATATGGCAAAAATCATCAAAATACCGAATATCGGCTGATACCGTTATATGGGGCTATACTAAAACGTGGACCTACACATACAATGCTTCGCCACAAATACCAATTTTTAGATAAATCCGTGAAAAAATGTGCAAAAATCATCAAAATACCGAATATCGTCAGGTACCGTACCAAATCGTGGACCTATACATACAATTTTTCGCCACACGATCTAAAACCCATTTAGACCTACAATTACCAATTTTTAGACAATCCCTTAAAACATGTGGCAAAAGTCATCAAAATACCGAATATCGGGAAGTATCGTTATGTGGGGACTATACCAAAACGTGGACCGGTATATCTCAATCTCAATGCCAACCATCATAGACAATATACAAATTGTTCTGCTAAATTTTGACGCTCTACGTTAAATAATGTAGGCTGTATCGTGATTTCAACAGGCAGACGGACATCGTTAAATCGACTTAGAATTTTTAGCTGATTTTGAATTTATATACTCTATATGGTCTACGATGAATATTTAGGAATGTTACAAATGGAATGACAAAATTAATAAACCCTTCTTTCCAAGGTGGAGAGTATAAAAATATGGCTGTTTTTTAATTGTGGGGTGTAACCATGCCTTAAAGTGAAAAGGTTTCTTCACCATCATCGTTGACGTACAGCGTTTTTATTCCCTCAGCCATATGGCTACAGAGGTATATAACATTTGATGAGGTCAAATAACCTAAGTCTCTTTGTACCAAAATTGGACAAATTGGTCCATTCCATCAAGTACCTCCCCCACAAAAGGTCAACATTCTGAATAATTATAACACCTATAAAAAGTAAAGTATGAATCCGATTGTCTTAAAATTACACACATCACAATATTTTTATTAATCCAAGTTCTGGGGTGAAGGTGTGATATATAGGTCCACTCCTTCTGGTACCTCTCCCACAAAGAGTCAAAATTTTGTATATCCATGAAGCTCATAGTACGCGAAATTAATATCCGATCCCAATCAGACTTGATACATCTCTATATTTCCATCATCACAAGATCTGTTATAAAGATGGTTGAGATCGAACTATTCCTTGTAGTAACACCCCCCCCCCCCCCCACGCACACACAAAGGGTCAATGTTTTGAATAACCAAAACGATTATAAAATACGAAATAAGCATCCGGTTCTCTTCATATTTCACACATAACATTATTTCTACTAGCCATAATCTGCTGTGAGGATGGAATATATCGGTCCTCTTCTTCGGGTACCTCACCCGCAAAGGGTCAAGATTTTGAATATCCATGAAGTTCCTAAAACGCGAAAATTAACATTAGATTCCATTCAGACTTGGTACATCTCAATGTTTCCATCAACACAAGATCTGATATGAAGCTGGTAGAGATCGGACCATTTCTTCTAGTACCTCCCCCTTATAAGGTTTATGTTTTTGAAAAACAAAACTCTCAAAGGAAGCGAAATAAGCATCCAACTCTCTTAAAAATTTCACACATACAAACAGATTTGCTTACACAAGATCTGTTTTGTAGATTAAAGATATCTGCCAAACCCTTGTGGTGTCTCACCCACAAAGGGTTTCAATTTTCAATATTTATATCTAAATATATAAAATGTTTCAAAATTTTTCATACTTTTTCACAAATACCGTCTTATCATCGCCATAAACCTTAAAACGCCCCAAACTAATATACATGTCCTGTACTTTGTAATGACCGCCATAATCTCCAGAAATATGTGTTGTATTTTTGTGATGACTACTATTTTTGGCACTTATCAATATTACGTTCATGTCTCATTCTACAAGTTTTAAAATTTCATATTATTTTCTCAATCTCTCCCCCACCCTACGCTTTCTTCTCGTGTCTCATGTACACACTCGCTTAACCCCTTGTGGGGTTGTGGATGTTTTCATTCGTGTTTTTGCTGTTCATCCATAAAATTGATTTCGTTAACACACGCAGTGCCCATTTTGCCCGATTATCTTGCCACCATAAACAATCGTACGCTGCTGCCACCGACGGCATTCACATTGACAGGAACAGGAAAAACAACTGGGTCGGCATCGTCGTCGTCGTCAGCATCAGCATCAGCATCAGCATCATCATCACCATTCTCGTCGTCCTCAAATAATAATAACACGCCATTGTTCGGCATGGGGTTGAATAACAGTGGTGGTCCTGTCGTCATTGATACAATGGCATCAGCACAACATATGGCTTATCGTAATCTGGATGGAACAGTTGCAGCAACAGTGGCAAAAACAAAATCCGAACCGTTAACTGCACAGCATCCTTCGCAATACCATTTCCCGCATCAACAACAACAACAACATGCTCAGCCGGTTCAGCATGTCATGACAAAGCATCCGATACCAGGCAAATCGATGGTTAATTTTTCACTAATACATTTGGCAACGGATGATAATGGAAAATTGTTGATATCCACATCGTCACTAACGGACCCAAGCAATGGCGGAAATGTCATAAAATTCTTCAATAACAGCAAAGGATCACGGGGACAATTGAAGAATGATAAGTCCAGTTATAACATACGCCAGAGTGAAATTGACACTGAGTCGCTAGAAAGTGAAAATGGTTCCATTGGTGTCTTGCTGGCCATGAAAGCATTGGTACAATTGATTTTCAATCCAATTGTGGGAAATTTATCGATCAAGTATGGCTATCGTTTGCCCATTGTAATGGGTACATTTTTCCTGCTCATCTCTTCGTTGGGTAAGTAATTTAGATTTAGATGTAAGAAGAAGGCCATATATTGGTCATCTATGGATCTTTAGTAGACCTTGAACACGTCTTCGAAAGGCGGAACATATTTGCCATTTCCTTTAAGAAAATCTTAAATGATGTGTTGTTCCATAAAGTTTTTTACAGGTATTTTATGGGCATTATGACAGGTCCTCTGTTGATAGAATAGTCTGGCAGATAAAATCATTGTACTGTTCTTCTGAAGAAAGAAGATACGATACATAGAAGACATTTATATTCTACTTTATAGAGAGAAGACCTTTGAGAGGGTTTCTTAAGGGAGAACACCTTTGATGGGTCTAATGTAAATGGCAGACCTCAGGTCTACCATACATAAAGGACATTTGACGTTTTTATACCCAAAGTCATATGACTACAAAGGGTATAAGGTGAGATAAAAAAACTGTTTTTTTTACATTTTTTTCAAATTTTATTGAATGCAAGCAAAAAATGTCGGATATAGCATCAAATTTCAGAATAAGTTTAGATTTGTTCGAATTGGTCACCTATGGCACGAATTACGGCCAATGAAACCGTCACACGCTGCCCGAATGTTGCTTTGCAGTATTTTGGCTAATTCCGGCAAAGCGCTTGCTTGGGGTGATCGACACTTTGGTACTTTTTAATGCCAACCTTGCTTTCCAAAATACTCCAGACACAATAGTCCAACGGATTGGTATTCGGAGATTTTGGTAGCCATTGTGCGCTGGAAAAGAAGCGAGGAACCTAATTTTCTAACAATTTTTGGGTGGCGCGTGGTCCTGTTGGAATTTCCAAGGTCTATGGCCAAAATGTTTGCGTTTCCAAGACTTTAATACACCCTCCAGAATGTTTTCGCAATAATATTCGTCATTTATTCTGATGCCACGATCGATTAATACGAGCGGAGAGCGACCATCGCCTGTTATGGCGGCCCACACCATGGCCGGCGCTTGAGTTCTGGTGGCCAACCGAAGGTGCACATTTTGACAAGACTAAGAGTCTATTTTCTTTCTGTTGCGATGAAAGTTCTTGCACTTTTTGGAATTTCAATGGCTTTACTCCGAGCTCATTTTTCAATATTTGCCGATTGGAATATTGCGATATGTTCAGCTCACGAGACATTTTTCGGCAACTGCGACGCGGGTTTCGATCAAGTCGCTTCTTTACTTTTCGAACCATTTCTGCTAATCGAAATAACGGTTGTAGAACCTTAGTCTCTTTGGACCAATTCCGTTTTAGCGCATTTAGAGTCGATCTAGAGTTGTCCGTATGTCTCTCTTTTAGCATGGCTGGCTGGTGTGCACGACAACCCTCGATGAGAGTATCCAAACTTGGTGCAACGCAAAATTATTATGAACTTAGGTTGAGTTCGGAGATGGGTAAAATCGGTCCACTCCTTCCACTAAAATCGGGGGAGGTACCACCCCACAAAGGGCAACATTTTTAGAGAAATTTATTTGTTTTATAAAACAAGATAGGTTCATTAAATTTTATGAAAATTTTGAAAGTCCCTCTATTTGCATCGATACTAGGTTATGTGTGAAAATGGACAATATGAGATCATTAATTCTGGTACCTCCCCCACAAAGTGCGACATAAGTGTCCGATTGTCTTAAAATGTCGCGCATTTCCATACTTTTACCAACACAATATCTGGTGAGAAGATTGTATATATTAGTCCAACATTTTGAATAATTATAACTCTTATAAAAAGTGAAATAAGAGTCAGATTGCCTTCTAATTTCGCACAACTCAACATTTCAACCAACACAAGATCTGGTATGAATAGCATATAGAATGGACCACTCCTTCTGGTACCTCCCCCAAGAAGGATCAAATTTTATAACTATGAGGGTCATAAAACCCGAAATGTGGAAACTACACACACCTCAATATTTCTTTAACAAGAGATCTGTTGTGAAGATAGAATAGATCAAACCATTCCTCTTGCTACCTTCCCCACAACGTGGGTAATGGTACCCTTTTTATTTGAGGAAGCAGTAGAGTTAGATTTGGAATGAGGACCACTGATGGAGTGCATGATAGATATGCTAAAGGTTTTTCGGAAATTTGCACTATAAGTGCACGAAAAAACACTAAAATGTACTACATTTGTACTACTTCGTAACATGTGAACGGTTAGAGGTAAAAACTTGAAATTTTATATGGGAATCAAGGTTTAGTCGATGTAAAGAGGTAGTTTTGGAAGTGTGTACTCATGTATACGAAAAGTACTACAATTTCAAATTTGGCGGAGTGTAGGCTTGGGATATGGAGGAAGTGTCCAAAATGTGTACATATGTGCACGAAAAGTACTATATGGTACTAATTTGGTACAATTTCCGATAGAGCTGACATTTTGAAATGTCGAAATAAGATAAGATGTGGGATTTGGATATGGAGCTAGTTTTCGAAAAGTGTACTTAAGTGTACTGCATGGTACTAAATATGGTACAATTTGTATTTTGGTGTACCGATAGGAGTGGAATAATGAAATTTCAAATTGGGATTATTGTGGGAGTGTAGGATTGGGATATGTTGGCAGCTTTGAAAATTCGTACTTATGTGTACTAAATAGTACTAAATTTAGTATAATTTAAATTTGAGTGAGTTGAAGGGGCTGGAATCCCCAAATTAGGTAATGCGATTTCTATGGGATTGTATGATTGAGGTACGAAAGTAATTTTGGAAATGTGGAGTATAGGTTTTGGGTATGTAAGAAGTTTTGGAAATTTGTACTTATGTGTACTAAATTTGATAAAATTTGGATTTAGGTGAGCCGAAAGAGCTGGAATTCCTACATTTTAGGTTAAGGAGTGGCCTAAACGTCTGTGGTTAATATATGCAGATGGTTCTGGAAATATGTACTATAGTTTTTCGAAAAGTACTATGTGGTACTAAATTTGGTTTTGGGTGAAGAAAAAGAGCTGGAACCCCGAAGATTGATATTAAGGTCTCTGTTTGTGGTTTTGCAAATGCGAACTATAATTTTTCGAAAAATACTAGATGATACTAATTGTGGATCGCTGTTCCTGTGGATTATGTTATTAAATTTAGTATCGGGTAAAGGTATAGAGTTGAAATTCTGAAATTCTTCCGAAAATAATTTAATATAGTAATTAGTACAGTGTATGAAGTTTTTATTAAAATATTTTGCCAAACAGAACAAATTGTGCATTTGGAGTACTAAAAAGACCTAATTGAGTAGCGGACACTTGCTAGTTTCTCATAAAATGAGAAAAAAGCATCTAAGTCTCTTCATATTTCAAACATGCCAATATTTCAGTGAACACCAGATCTGGGGGGAGAATGGAATATATCAGCCCACTCAACCACAATGTGGTCAAAATGTTGAATAACCAAAGTGATCATAAAATATGAAATAAGAATCTGATTTTTTAAACTTCATACATTCCAATATTTGTACCAACCAGTGTTGCCGTTTGAAATTTTTATTTCAGCCCAAATTTTTTCTAAAAACCGCCCAAATCGACCATATCCGCCCAAACTGTAAAAAGTTGAATAATTTATATGTAGTTTGTATTCAAGTAAATTTTATTGAAAATTTTACACTATACATAAAAAAGGTACTCAAGTTTTATTGCATTCAATGTATTAAATACATTAGAGAAAATAAAAATTTTATTGTTATTTTACTTCAAGTTTTGTTATATATATATATTATATATATATTTAAAAAAATAACATAATACAAGAATTCAATGTACTAAATACATTAAATAAAGGCCAAAAATTATGTAACACCACGAAATATTGGTTTCCCACATAGGAAAGTATATATGGATCTTTCTATCTCGCCGAGCTGAGTCGATCTAGTTATGTATGTCCGTCTGTCCATTTTAAGTTATAATCACTCTACAGGTCGCAATTATGGCCCGATCTTCACGAAATTTAGAATGTAGCTGGGGTTAAGGTCAGAATAGAACCCTATTTCTTTTGGAGATGATCGCATAATATTTAGGTGTTGAAATGGACCAAAAACTGAAAAATGTCCTGATTTTGCAGTTGCTCTACAAGTCGCAATTATAGACCAATCGAAGCGTAAGTTAGCATGGGGCTAGAGCTTAGGGCTGGGCAGAAGCCTTCCAATTTTGATGGTCATCGGGTAATATTTAGTGGTTTAGTAGACCATAGCATTTGCGATAAATAAAAGTCAAATTTTCCATTAATCCGCGAATATTTTTACTGCCGGCGAAATCACAAATAGACGAACAGATCAATTCTGACCGTTATGTAGATGCCGAGTGTATATATGTCGGATATATACAGCGAAATATATACAATGTGTATAAACAAAGGAAGGGGATGTCAGCTAGAATGCTTATATCTTCAGAATGGCTGGAGCGATTTTGACAAATTTTGTCAATTTAGAATGCCCTTGTGGCATTGAAGTATTAATACTAAAAAATCGCATAAAATGATACCAATAATGATGTTCATATAGATTTTGCGAAATTTTTTTATTTTTTCATATTTTTTTATCGCATGCGATTTTTTCAAATTGACTTATAATATTAAAGTATTTGTTTTGTAATATTTTTTCACTTTACAACACAGGTTAGGGTTATTATTTATATACAGATTGCAATTATCGTTCGATCCTCACGAAATTTTTCACAAAGATAGGGTTAGGCTCAGAAGGGCTTAGCCTATTGTTTTCAAAGATGTCCGCAATATATTTATGGGTTGAAATGGACCAGCAACTCAAAATGTTCCTGGCTTTTTTATGCTATTTTCGTTGACGAATATAGCCAAATATCGTAGACAAGCAAATCATATAGATGAGTCTAAATTTGGAGACACAGAGGGGCCTCGCAAAATATTTAGGGGTTTAAATGAACCAAAAACAGAAAAAAATTTCCTGATCACACAATTGAAGAAAATCGACACGCCTGAGAATATAGTTAAGCACAGGGAAGAATTTTGGATGATCATTTGAATATATTTAGCCGTAAAATGGACCACAAAAACTAACAGCACGACGGAGTGCATAAATATTGGGAAAATATCCCTGGTCAAAATGCTAAGGGTAATATCTGGGCAGTGCTCCGTGACATAATTTCAAAAGCGAAATCTTCCAAAATTGATTTGGACATGAGGGGGCGTCTAACATATTGTAGTGTTGTAGGGTATCACATGGTCGGCCCCGCACGACTATAGCCTTTGCTTACTTGTTTTTAAATGTATTATATATATTATTAAAAAACTTAACAAAAATTTATAAAATAAATAACGATTCGTCTCAATAAAAAAATATAAAATTCAGTTAGTAATAAAAAAAATTAAATTACGTAAAAACAATGAACAATGAAAAAATAAATTTGTACCCTATATGAAAAAAATCCGCCCAAAATCCGCCCAAACCACAAAATTTATCTTTTTTCCGCCCAAATTTGGACGGAAACGCCCAAAACGGCAACACTGGTACCAACACAAGATCAGGTTTTAAATTTTAATAAACACACATTGACTGAGGGTATACATCTGTCGGTAAAAATAAAACGGCAGATAATTTATAACTCGTTCTATAGCAGAAGGACTTTGACAGATTTTCTATAGACAGAAGACCTTTGAAAGACCCTTCTATAAACAGAAGAAACATCTCGTATTATAAACAAATCATAAGTGCATAGGCTGCCATGTAGAAAAGCACGCTATGCCCAAAATACATTACACACACCCCCGCACACCGAGTGATAATACTGCATATATAATTCATGGCAGACCCTTCTCTTATTTTTCCACAGAGATATATTTATGGATTGCAACTCTACATAACTCCAAATAACGGACAGTTTGTCTGCAAATCTGTAATTTAGTGTTTCATAGACAAAAGACCCTCGACCTTCGACAATCTATGTAGGAAGAAGACTTTTTGCAGGTCTTCATTATGTGTCAGACCTATTCGAGTTATTCCACTTATGGGAAGAAAGCTTTGATAAAAGCAGACCTCTGAAAACTTCGCTCGAATTTGTATAAAGAGTAAAACTAACTCGAATTCGAGCGGCAGTGCTCTTAGGGGCAGAAAAAATCGAGTAAACTCAATTTTTCGATGTCGCTAAAATATGAGTAAGCATATTTCCTCGTTTTCGAGTGGGAGCTAAATTCGTTAAAAAAGTAGCAGATTCTATATATATGTGTATTTTTCTATACCAGATCACCTCCCTGTTCCCTCTTCTACAGTATCGAAATACTCCAGACACAATAGTCCAACGGATTGGTCTCCGAAGATTTTGGTGGCTATTGTGCGCTGGAAATGAGGCGCATTATTGAGTGCGATTGTGCTGAGTCCTGTTGGAATGTCCAAGGTCTGCGGCCAAAATGTTTGCATGCCAAAGGCTTTAATACATTCTCCAGCATATTCTCGCGATATTATTCGGCATTTATTGTGGTGCCACGGTCTATTAATACGAGTGGAGAGCGACCATCGGCAGTTATGGCGGCCCACACGCTTGAGTTCTGGTGGCCAACCGAAGGTGCACATTTTCAGCTGATCTTTTTGGCAAGCAAACACGATCAACGAATGTTTTCAAATCGGAGAAAACCAAATTCGGCAATTCACCACCACTTTCGGCCAAGCGAAGCAATTATTTACCGCTTTTAAGTCTATTTTCTTTCTGTTGCAGTTCTTGTACTTTTTGGAATTTCAATGGCTTTACACCGAGCTCAGTTTTCAATATTTCCCGAATGGAATATTGCGATATGTTCAGCACGCGACCAATTTTTCGACCACTGCGACGCGGGTTTCGATCAAGTCGCTTTATTACTTTTCGAACCATTTCTGCTAATTTTGCTGTTTTCTTCCGTCCACTTTCTTGACTTCGGGCTACGCTACCAGTATCACGGTAACGAGCGATGGTACGAGACACAAAAGATTTATTCACATTTAAATGCTGGAGTGCTCTAGCGATAGCCACTTGTGGTTTTCCAGCCAAATATAAAGAAATCACACTATCACGCTTGAATTCCATCACGAAAACTTTTTTTCTGGAAAATTCTCACCAAAATGATTTTGTACACCTGTAAACAATATATAATGAGCTTTCATTGGAATAATTTTAACAGCTGTCGGACGAGTTGCTTAGAAATAACAGCAGTCTGAAGTTATATCCCTTGACATATTTAAACCTCCATCCTAACACGGAGGATATATTATGTTTGCCATTCCGTTTATAACTCATCGGAGTAATCATTTTGGACCCAACATTGTATATATTCTAATCCGATGTAGCCATGTCGGTTCGTCTCTTGTAATCACAGTATCTTCGGAAGAAATTAAGAATTTGATAGACATTCGTTTTAAATCTAAAGTTAGATTAAGTTTAAAGATGGGCTATACCAGTTAATTTTCTTCTATAAATAAAGAACTTTAGATGCGCCTTAAATATAAAAACCGCTTTGGGTGCCGTCCAGAAAGAAAACTCCTTCGGAAACATTCTGTATATGGCATAGGCTTCATTTAAACATTTTGCAAGTATTCTTCCGACAAATAATTTGTACTTTTAGTGTTTGCGGTTGGAGAAACCTATGGCACCCTATTAATAGCACGTTCGGTACAAGGTATTGGTTCAGCGTGTATTGGCGTTTGTGGCATGAGTCTGGTGGCTCAGGTAGGTTAATTTTCAGAATATAATGACATCACATTTTTTTAAATATATATATTCTACTTTTAGCATTACCCGGAAGAAGAACGTCGTTCGAAAATAATGGGCATCATATTGGGTAGCATTGCTTTGGGCGTATTGCTTGGCTATCCATTTGGTGGAATACTGTACGATCTGTTTGGAAAATCGGCACCCTTCATAATATTATCAACCATTATTTTTGTTAATTTGGGTAGGTCTTTCAACTTTCTTTTTTTTAGCAAAAAAAAGGTTAATTCTTTGAAAACTGAAAAAAAAACTTTTCTTTTCCAACCCAAACAGGTCTGCAACTTGTCACAATGGATTTATCCGTACAATCGGAGGTAAATTTATGAAAATAAAAACCATCCATATTGTTTAAAAAAAACATCTCCATTTCCTACAGGTCATTGTCGATGTGGATCAACAGCAAAAACCCAAATGGAGGCCCCTGCTTCAAAGTAAAATGATTTTGGCCATTGTCATCGCCATATGGTTCTCAACATCGACCATGGCAATATTGGAACCATGTTTACCGCTGTGGTTAATGACGAACCTCAAACCGAATAAATGGCAGTTGGGAACAGTGTTTATACCAGATTCGGTGGGCTATTTTGTCGGTACGAACTTTTTTGGTTCCATTGCCTATAGGTTTGGGCAAATTAAGGTATCATGTATATCGCTGCTGCTTGTGGGCATATCATCGATTTTGGTAAGCATTGATGGAAAATATAACGATATATGCTCTGTTCAAGATGTAAAATTAGCAAAACTACTAGATTCTTGCATGTTCTGGAACAGAGCAATAATAATTTTATGAATTGGACGAAGCAGATGTTTTCGTTTATATTCAGGGTAGATTTATAAGGTTACACGTTAAGGCGTTTAGACACTATGTCTCTCTGCACCAAATCCATTTTAGCATACTTGGAGTCGATCTAGGGGTGTCCGTCCGTCCGCCTTTCTGGCTAGCGCGCACCTTAACTCTCGAAGAGATTTGGAATACAGTAATATTTTTACCAAACTTAGATCGAGTTGGGATATGGGCAATGTCGGCCCACAAAATGACCACATTTTTAAGAAAGTAATATAGGGTAAGTGCGCCTAAGTTCGGCATGTCCCAGTAGTTTTGATATTTAAACTTAAATAACTAAAAATGGAATTGACCAAATAATGAAATAATTGCAAAAAAACGTCAACAGTGTTCTCTGCTCTCTTTCTGTAAAAAAAAAACAATGAGCTCCGATCATTTATTACGAGAGAATAACGGTTTTCGTCAGTGAGTGTCTTCGAACACGTGCGATAGTGCTTGTTTGTAAAGAAAAAAATAGTGGTGGCGTCAACTTAATAATCGATTTAAGTAAATTAAATTTAATACTTTTGGAATCAGAAATATTTTATAATAGTAAATAACAGTCTAAAGATCATTTTATAACCTAAAAATCATACATAATCAAGCATTTTTCTCTTATATTATTTAATGCCGACGTTAGGAACAGAAAATCAGTAAAGAAAGTTATGATACCCTACACCACATTGCTTATTTAGTTGAGCTCCACTTAATAATTAAAAGTTTTTATGGGAGAATTCAATCATACACGCTATGATTATAATTTAAAATTCAATGGACTAAATATGCCAAAGCATTTGTATCTTTTAAATTCGGACTTGTATTGCCCACTTGGTGCAGAATTAATTTGAAATCAGATAAAGATATATATGGGAACTATATCCAAATCTGAACCGATCTCGATAAAATTTGGCAAAGATATTTTTGAGCTGTATTTGATATATTTCCCAAAATATTGTTGTTACAGAGTGCATATTACAGCTGCGGTGGACAAAAATAACAAATCGGATGAACAATATATATGGGAGCTATAGCTATATCTGAACCGATTTCGATCAAATTTGCCATACTTATTTTCAGGCCTAATTTGGTTGTATGTGCAAAATTTCATACTATTCGGGCTGATATTACACGTTTGGTGCACAATAAAAGGCAAATCGGACGAAGATATATATGGGAGCTATATCTAAATTTTTACCGATTATCTCCAATTTCAATAAGGTTCGTCCTTGGGTCAAACAAATATTGTTTGCAAAATTTCATCTCAATCGGATAATAAATGCGTCCTGCATTTTGTTCACAAGAATACATGGACATGCATAAATCAACTCAGAAAGTGATTCTATGCAGATCATCAAAAGGAACTATTGGTCTATCTCGTTTCCTTTTGCCTGTTACAAACAAATGCACAAAGACATAATACCCTGACCACCTTGTGGTGTAGGGTATAAAAAGAGATTTGCCAGTAGTCGGCAGGAGGTGCCGATTAGTAGAAAAATGTCATTTTTGACCTATTTCACCAAAATTTGAGAAAAGTATTAAAAAATAATCCAAAAACTACTGAAATAAAAAAATAGTTTTGAGTCGGCAGTTGCTTTTATTTGTGCTTTTTGACCAACTTTTCTAAATTAGGTAGGTTTCTTTTTTAATCAGCTATTTGACGTTTTAGATAGCGGTGGCATTTAAAAAAGAAAATGTTGGAAAGAAAAGAAAAATACAAGAAAGGTACTTTTTTCTTTTTTTATTTCATCTCATTTTTATTTTAATTGAAAATCCATACGTTACTGAAGGTTACCATACTATTCTTGATTTTCTACCTATATTTGGTTTACAATGATAATTAAATAAAACACTATTTAAAAACGAAATTAGTTAGTTAAACTGTGAATTAGTACTACAGCATTGTTTTATACTATTTGAAATAAAAAAATATACAAAATAATATATTTTTTTAATGAAATAGCATATGCCGACTACTGGCAAATAGACATGCCGAGCATTGGAAAATGGTGCCGACTTCTGGCAAAAAACTACTATTTTGGTAAAATTGCAAATTTTGCTAATTTAATTAAAACAAATTCAATTGTTGTTTATTATTTCGAAAACTAAACAAAATATGGAATTTGAACAACTTTATTTTTCTGCAATTGAAAGATTTCACTCAGAATGTCGAAAGATTGAAATATTGAAAAGCCTAAAAGTGCCGACTACTGGTACACTTACCCTATATTTTTTTGGAACAAGAAACGATCATCTAGTTTTGTACAAACAATTCCCAATATTTTTATCAGTCCTAGATCGGGTGGACAACATCGGTCACTCCATTCAGAACCTCCCACAAAAAGGGTAAAAGTTTTGCATAATTAAAAGTCGTATAAAATATGAATTAGGAGGTCGACTGTCTTCCAATTTTTATTAACACTACCTCTAGTATGATTTATGGTTATAATGTACCACTCCTTCTGGTACCTTCCTCTTTAAGGGTCAATATTTTGAATAACCAAAACCTTTATAAAATGTGAAATCAAAATTCGAATGTCTTCAAATTTCGTACATCTCAATATTTTTATCAACGCAAGATCTGGTATGAACAACGGATAGAACGGACCACTACTTCTGGTAACTTCCCCTCAACGGGTCCTAATTTTGAATAACCATGAAGCTCATAAAATGTGAAATAAGCATGTGATTCTCATCAAATTTTATACAACTCATCATTTCTATTAACACAAATGTGTGTGAGTGTGAGGATGGGATATATCGGTCCACTCCATCTGGTACCTCACCCACAAAGGGTTAACATTTTGAATAATCGAAATCCTTATAAAATGCGAAAAAAAAACATCTGATTCTCTTACAATTTCACACAAGCTCCAATATTTCTACCAAAACAAGATCTAGTGTAAAGAAAGGTAGATAGATATACCATCACCCCACCAGAGATCTGATGTGAATATGAAATTTATCGGCCAATTCCTTCGGGTACCTTCCCCACAAAAGTTGATCATTTTTAATAATTCGCATAAAATCGGAAATAAATGTTCGATTTTCTTAAAATTCTGCACATACCAATATTTTTATCAGTATTAAATGAAGTGGAGTACTTCGGTCCGCTATATATGGTACCTTACGCACATTTCAACAGTTGACAAAAATTATCACATATCACATAAAATGTGAAAGAAGTAGTCGATATACAGGGTGAGATGAAGAAACTGCCATTCGTCCGACAGCTGTTGTTCACAAGCGTACGAAAGCATTTTGGCGAGAAATTTCCACAAAAAAGGTTATTCGTGATGGAATTCAAGCGTAATAGTTTGATAGTTCTTAATATTTGGCTGGAAAACCACAAGTGGCTATCGTTAGAGTACTCCAGCATTTAAATGTGAATAAATCTTTTATGTCTCGTACCATCGCTCGTTACCGTGATACTGGTAGCGTAGTCCGACGTCAAGGAAGTGGACGGAAGAAAACAGCAACATCAGCAGAAATGGTTCGAAAAGTAAAGAAGCGACTTGATCGAAAACCGCGTCGTAGTGGCCGAAAAATAGCTCGTTTGCTGAATATATTGCAATATTCCATTCGACAAATATTGAAAAATGAGCTCGGGGTAAGGCCATTGAAATCCCAAAAAGTGCAAGAACTTACACCGCAACAGAAAGGAAATAGACTCAAAAGAGCTAAAGAGTTGCTTCTCTTGGCCGAAAGTGGTGAACTGCCGAATTTGTTTTTCTCCGATGAGAAAACATTCGTTGTCCAGCAGTTTGTAAACAAACAAAATGATCGTGTTTATTTGCCAAAGAGGTCAGCTGAAAATGTGCACCTTCGGTTGGCCACCAGGACTCAAGCGCCGGCCATGGTGATGGTGCGGGCCGACATAACAGCCGATGGTCGCTCTACGCTCGCATTAATCGACCTAGGCATCAGAATAAATTCCGAATATTATTGCGAAAATATTCTGGAGGGTGTATCAAAGCCTTGGGCACGCAAACATTTTGGCCACAGACCTTGGACATTCCAACAGTTTACATTATTATAAAATTTGATGTTATTTCCGACATTTTTATACCCTACACCACAAGGTGGTCAGGGTATTATGTCTTTGTGCATTTGTTTGTAACAGGCAAAAGGAAACGGGATAGACCCATAGTCCCTTTTGATGATCTGTATGGAATCACTTTCTGAGTTGATTTATGCATGTCAGTCCGTCCGTCTGTCCATGTATTCTTGTGAACAAAATGCAGGTCGCATTTATTATCCGATTGAGATGAAATTTTGCAAACAACATTTGTTTGGCCCAAGGACGAACCCTATTGAAATTGGAGATAATCGGTAAAAATTTAGATATAGCTCCCATATATACCTTAGTCCGATTTGCTTTTTATTGTGCACCAAACGTGTAATATCAGTCCGAAGAGTATGGAATTTTGTTCATACAATCAAATTAGGCCTGAAAATAAGTATGCCAAATTTGATCGAAATCGGTTCAGATATAGCTATATCTCCCATATATATTGTTCATCCGATTTGTTATTTTTGTCCTCCGCAGCCGTAATATGTACTCTGTATCAACAATATTTGGGGAAATATATCAAATGCAGCTCAGAAATACCTTTGCTAAATTTTATCGAGATCGGTTCAGATTTGGATATAGCTCCCATATATAATTTCGTCCGATTTACCTTTTATTGTGAACCAAACGTCTAATATTTGCCCAAATGGGATAGAATTTGGCACATACGACCGAATTTAGTCTAGAAGGTAGTATGCCAAATTTGGTGAAGATCGGTTCAGATATAGCTATAGCTCCCATATATATTTTTCATCCGATTTCTTATTTTTGTCCACCGCCGCCGTAATATGCACTCTGTAACAACAATATTTGGGGAAATATATCAAATGCAGCTCAGAAATACCTTTGCTAAATTTTATCGAGATCGGTTCAGATTTGGATATAGCTCCCATATATAACTTCGTCCGATTTACCTTTTATTGTGCACCAAACGTCTAATATTTGTCCAAATGGGATGGAATTTGGCACTTACGACCGAATTGAGTCTATAAGCTAGTATGCCAAATTTGGTGAAGATCGGTTCAGATATAGCTATAGCTTCCATATATATTATTCATCCGATTTGTTATATTTGTTACCCACAACCGTAATATGCACTCCGTAACAACGATATTCAGGGAAATATATGAAATACAGCTCAGAAATATCTTTACCAAATTTTATCGAGATAGGTTCAGATTTGGATATAGTTCCCATATATATCTTTATCCGATTTCAAATTAATTGTGCACCAAATGGGCAATACAAGTCCGAATTTAAAAGATACAAATGCTTCGGCATATTTGGTCCTTTGAACTTTAAATTATAATTATAATCATAGCGTGTATGATTGAATTCTCCCATAAAAACTTTTAATTATTAAGTGGAGCTCAACTAAATTAGCAAAGTGTTGTAGGGTATCATAAAATCGGCCCCGCCCGACTTTAGGACTTTCTTTACTGGTTTGTTTTCATTCAAAAAAAATTTAAAACAATTTAAAAATTGTGGTGTTGACTTTGTTGCAGTTTTTTATCTCACCCTGTATGAATAATTGATAGGTATAACCTTTGATATGGCAAAACTCTGTGCATTCCAATAACCATATCAGTCTACTCTCTCAAGTACCCCTCCCACCAAGGGTCAAAAAGTCGACATTCTGATACATGATGTTGTCCTTTTCGTTTTGTTTTTCTTTGTTGATAATTAACAAATTTGCCGTAATTGTTATTTTTTACCAATTCGCTTCCTGGCCGACCTTATATAGGTCTTGTGTGTGCCTTTGTCCTCTATGTATCTGCGGCTTTAAATTTTGTTTTGTATCTTTTGTGTTTGTACCTTTTTTTATTATTTAGATACCAACGGCAACAACTGTTTCCCAACTCCTTTTGCCACATTTTGGTCTGGGTCTAGGCATTGGAATTATTGACGCCGCTCTTGTGCCATTGTTGGCGACATTTGTTGATGCCACCTTATCCGCTGAAGATGAGCAAATGGAAACAGCCGATACCCGAAGTGCCCACTCTATGTCAAGTTATGGCAGTGTCTATGCCATACAACAAACCTCCGTCAGTTTGGCATATTGTTTGGCTCCACTGTTGGGTGGTGAATTGGCCCAGGCATTTGGCTTTGTTTGGCTAATGCGAATCGTCGGAATTTTCAATATTGTCTATGGTCCTATATTGGTGTATCTCTATTATAAATACGATCCGAAGGTAAGTTGAAATTTGATTTTCATTGTAAATCCTTGTCACCACACTCTTCGTTGTTACAGGTTTTACGTGAAAAACAACATGAAATGCTGTTAAGCTCAAGCGGTGGCAGCTATGGACGAGGCAGTAAATATAAACAACTTTATAATGCCGTTGAAAATGAATAGATGGACACCAAACTATTCTAGTATTCCGCATAAATAGTAAATTTTAAATAAATAATTTCTTCTATAGCAATATTGTCAGAATGTATGAATGTATTTACAATGTCCATATGATTCCTATGAATGTTCAGTTTTTGATGTTAAAAAGAATCTCGAAATAAAATCAAAAGAAAGCTAATCTAGGGATTCCTTTAAAAGCTGTTGTGCCATGTCGATTAAAAATGGAGGTAAAAAAGGTTATTTTTTTTAAATCAGGTTAATGACAATTTCGGCCCCTAATTTATTCTTGTTCGTCTTAAGAGGTCAGCCAATGATTTAGGCCAGTCAACAAAAGCTTTTGTGTGTTCTCAACTTAAGTCTGAGATATGAAGGTGAATGGTTTGTGTACTAAATGGTACTATATTTGGAACAGTTTGGTTTAGGGTGAACGGCTGAAGCTGGAATTTTGAAATTGTTTCTTTTTATCGAGTTCCCAGTGATTAAAACGGGGTTTTGGAAATGTATGCTACAAGTACACGAAAAGTGCTAAATAATACTATATTTCGTACAATTTGGTATTTGGTGAACAGAAAGTGTTTGAAATCTGAAATTAGATACGATCGCTGTTTATATGTTGCCTGGACTTATGGAGGTAGTTTCGGCAATATGTACTATAATTGTATGAAAAGTACTAAATTGTACTATTTTTGGTATTGGGTGAAGGGATTGAGATAAAATGTTAAAATTTAATATTTAGTTTACAGATGGTATCTGTGTTTGCGATTTGGGGGTGGTTTGAAAATGTGTCCCATAATTGTACGAGAAGTACTAAATGGTACTAGTTTTTGTATTGGGTGAAAGAAATGTGCTGAAATGCTCAAATTTGATATTGAGGTCTCTGTTGGCATCTGGAATTGAGATATGGATGTAGTTTTTGGAAATGTGTACTATAATTGTACGAGAAGTACTGAACATCACTATTTTTGGTATTGGGTGAAAGTCTGAGATATGAAGGTGAATGGTTTGTGTACTAAATGGTACTATATTTGGAACAGTTTGGTTTAGGGTGAACCGATGAAGCTGGAATTTGAAATTGTTTCTTTTTATCGAGTTCTCTGTGATTAAAAGGTGGTTTATGTGTTGCCTGGACTTATGGAAGTGGTTTCGGCAATGTGTACTATAATTGTATGAAATGTACTAAATTGTACTATTTTTGGTATTGGTTGAAGGGATTGAGATAAAATTTTAAAAATTTATATTTAGTTTACATATGGTATCTGTGTTTGCGATTTGGGGGTGGTTTGGAAATGTGTCCCATAATTGTACGAGAATTACCAAATAGTACTAATTTTGGTATTGGGTGAACGAATAGTGCTGGAATGCTCAAATTTGATATTGAGGTCTCTGTTGGCATCTGGAATTGAGATATGGATGTAGTTTTTGGAAATGTGTACTATAATTGTACGAAAAGTACTGAACATCACTATTTTTGGTATTAGGTGGAAATTTGATATAGATGTCACTTTTGGTGTCTGTGATAAAATTATGGAGGTGGTTTTGAAAATGCACAATATAACTGTACTAAATGGTACTAAATATGGCAAAGAAGGGAAGTTACAGAGCTGAAATCCTTCAATTTGATATTAAAGTCACTGTTAGTATCTGAGGTTGCTTACTTTAATTGTACGAAAAGAATTGAATGGTACTATTTTTGGAATTAAGTGAATAGATATAGAGCTGAAATGCTGAAATTTAATATAGATGTCACTGTTGCTATAATTGTTTGAAGTGTACTAAGTGGTACTAAATTGGGTGAAAGGATAGAGCTGGAATCCCGAAAGGAACAGCAACAAAACATTAAATAATATAGCCCTATAGTTCACGTTTCCTAAAATTGCAAAATGTATAATACTTTATGTACAGGGTGAGATAAAAAATTTTCAAATTTTATAGATGAAAGCAAAAAATGTCAGAATTAGAATCAAATTTTAGAATAAGTTTAGATTTTTTCGAATTGGTCACCTTTGGCACGAATTAAATTCAAACGACCAGTGAAACCGTCACACGCTGCCCGAATGTTGCTCTGCGGTATTTTAAAAATAAAACATATATCTGAACCGATTTTCACCAAATTTGCTTTCACCAAATACAAACTGTGTATTTGTTTCCGTTCTATCCGAAAAGATTCCGAGTACTCTGCACATACTCTTTTTTCCGAATTTGAGGTAAAACATCTGAAAAATTTCAGAATTTCGGATCAAACATTCGACACTTTTCCGATTTCGGTTGTATTAATCGATTTTTCCCGATTTACGGATAAAACACTAGAACAAATTCAATTTTCTCCGAATTTTAGATCAAACATCTAAAAATTTTGCGAATTTCGTATGAAACACACAAAAATGTTCCAAATTTTCTTTTGCGAATTCTAAAAGAATTCGTTACGAACATCTTGGACAGAATCTTGGGCAATTTCACACAAGTTTTTTCCGAGTTCGTTTTGAATTCGACATCAGAATCGGAAACTTGTGCAGAGTTCTTTTCCGAATTCGGAAAAAAAGTGTTAGTTGGTATACACAAATTATAAAAAAAAAAATATTGGGTTACCCTACACTCCTAATGACTTGAAATTGTTTGAATTTTTCATTTTTCTGTCACTTCCTCTTTGGTCTTTTTAAATTTCAGTTCGTTTAACATTTTCGGCTTAAATATTTCAAAATTAAAAAAAAAATATTGCATAAGAATTAAATAATGGCGAAATTGCAAACTGGTAAATAGATAGTTGACGTCAGTGGACATAGTGCGATATGAAAAAAATCATTCGTTTTTTTGGGAAACTAGGCCCCACAGATCTATATGGACTGCCACCAACTGTGGGTTATGAAAGTCATGATTTGCGTAAACAACGATTGCCACAATACTCCTTTGGTACACGTACCCAACCGAAAGATAATAGCATTGGTCCTGGACCGGCTAGATATCAAGTAGATAAATTGGTACGTTATGGCATATCGAAGGCGAATATTTATACTATGGCACCGAAAACATTTTATAGGGGTAAGTTACACGGGTCCCTGGCAAAGAAAATGTGGACCCGGCCATAATCTTGATCTATGAAAAAAATCTTAAATTTTGTGCTAAATGCATTTTTTTTAGAGAAATCAAAAAGTCCTGGTCCCTTGGCCTATCAACTTCGGAATTCGCCAATATTTAAGGGATCCAATTCACCAGCCTATTCACTGGGACTTGTCAATACATATTTCTTTAAAAATTGTTCCCCTAGTCTAAATACATATGGTATTAACGATTCGTTTACCAAACAACGTGCTCCCGAATATAGTCTGTAAGTATGACGTGTTAAATAAAATAATCTCCGTATCCTAATCTCAGATACCAACAGTGACATTAATATGACATTTTATAATTTCACCTTTACCCCTTCACTCAATACTAAATTGAGAACTATTTAGTACTTTTCGTACAATTATAGTACACATTTCCAAAACCACATCCATATCTCAATTCCAGATACCAATAGAAACCCCAATGTCAAATATCGGGATTCTATGCCTATTCCTTCACCCAATTCCCAAAATTAGTACCACTTAGTACCTTTCGAAAAATTCAGTACACATTTCCAAAATCACCTCCATATCACAATTCAAGATACCAAGAGAGACTTCAATATCAAATTTGAGGATACCACCTCTATCACCTTCGCCCAAATACCCAAATTAGTACCATTTAGTACTTTTCGTTGAAATAAAGGACGCATTTCCAAACAAAACGCCAAAATCTCAAACACAGATACCATCAGTAATCTAAATATCAAATTTCAGAATTTTACCTCTATACCATCGATACTTTTCGTACATGTTTTAGTATGCATTTCCCAAACCACCTCCATATGTTCAGGCTACAGATTAACAGCGACCCTAATACTAAATTTCAGATTTCAAGCACTATATTTTCACCCAATACCAAATACAGTTCCAAATTTAGTACCATTTAGTACAGTTCGCACATTTAGTACACTTTTCCAAAACCAGTTCATATATCGAACTTACTTTCCAACTTGATTCTCATACCAAATTTCAAGTTCTTGGCTCTATCCATTCACATATTACCAAATAGTACTATTTTAGAAGTCGAGTACTATTTTAGAACTTTTCGTTAGCTTAAAGTGGGATATATCGTGTAAAGGTTTTCCACCCATTTGTGCTTGTCTTCTACTAAATTCAAAAATTATATATATTTATATATTTTCTTCCAACAGCGGTGTTAAAAAGTATCTACCCGAGCTGGTGCGTTCACCTGGCCCAGCCAAATATCCACGAAGTAATCTAGCTGCCATTAAACCGTCCACTCCCAGTTACACTTTGGCACCAAGAACAAAATATGAATTTAAACTCTATGGACCCGGTTCAAATTATTACGATCGCATGGAATATAAACCGGGCAAACGAGCACCGAACTATTCATTCGGTGTAAGGCATTCACCGCGTTCTGGCGTTATGATCGTTCCCTGTGACAATTGGTAATATAGGTGCAATATCGTAGGTTCTATTCGCAAAATTTTCAAAAGTATTGTCTTTTTTTATTGTCATTTTTTTTAATAATTGAAATAAAATTTTATTAAAAAAAAATCGATTTATATTATGGTTCCAATGTGTCATTAATATCTACATATTTCCACGAGTTTTTATACTATCTATGAAGGGTATATCAGTTTTGTTATTCCGTTTGTAACACCTCAGAATAGCTATGATATACCCTACAAAGTCTATGTTTTCGATATCCGTTTGTATGTTGTAATCACGCTATATTTCGTACGAATTGAGATAGAAGGATCCAATTTTTCACACATATAACGCTACCTCCCAATATTCCGATTTTTATGATTTTTTATTTGAAGGTACTTATGGGTACTATAGCTTATGACAAAAAAAAAATACATATACAGGCCACGACTTCGTATAGCCTCTATATTATAGTTCCTCCTTTAATTCGGTATTTTAAGCGACATTATTCACCGAAATTGTTTCAAATTTCGTACTTGAAATTCGTAATGGATATTACAACCTATGACAGAAAATTGTCTATGCAGGTCCTCGTCTTCGTATATCCCACATATAACAGTCAGGGCTGTCATAGAAACCATGTCGGTTTTGCTTATTGTCGTTTTTGTAAACCAATGATGGTTTCATTTGGTGTCATGAAACCAAGTTGGTTTTGTCAATTTCGAATGTAAATAAAACCAATGTTCGAAACAGCTGTTGTTGCTTACATGTGTTGTTTGTTTGTTTGTCATTGAAATATCAGTAAAAGTAAAGTAAATAAAAAAAGGAATAAGTCGCTATAAATAAAGTAAGATGGCATCAGCAGTGGTAGTTTTTGTGTTGTTGGACGAAGAACGCTCAGAAAAGGTGACGAGAAAAGCTCTTAAGCTGGGAATACACAAATCGCTTATTTGGCTGGCTTCTTCGGAAATGAACAAAGGAGCCTAGGGCCAAAATCGAACTAGGTTAACCTAAAACTCCTTTCTTCATTTCCGAAGAAGCCAGCCGATGACTTAAGCCAGCCAAATATGCGCTTTATGCATTTCCAGCCTTAGAGATTTCAGCAACCCACTGGAGTTGCCGGAGATAGCGTAAGTAATTTTTTTATTGTGAACTTACTCATAAATCTCCTTTGCAGATTTGTATCTAATTATAGGTTGAACAAAGAAGCATTTCTTATGGTCCTTGACAATATCGAAGGGCATTTGTCGCGTTCTAAAATACTTCTGATTTAGCAACTTGCTACTTCGTTGCGGTTTTTAGCGCAAGGATCTTATCAGAGATCAGTCGGTAACGATTCAAATATAAGTGTCGCAAGAAGCACCGTATCAACAATTTTAAGTGATGTCTCAATGTTATGGAGCGATTCATTGTCGTCAGTGGTTTCAATTGGAAATGGACAACAATGAAAAAAGAAGATCAAGAGACCATTTCTATAATAAATATAAAATTCCTTGTATAATTGGTTGCATTGATGGGACACACGTAAAAATTATAAAGCCTAGCATTGGCGATCATTTATATTTCAATCGAAAGGGTTATTATAGTATGAATGCATGATTGAAAGTTGAAATGAATTTTAGTTTTATATTTTCTAATAAAAGTCGTACTTATTAATCCTCAGATTTGTGACGGTGAAATGAATATTCGAGCTGTGGATGCACGATATCCCGGCTCCAACCATGACTCCTTTGTGTGGAATATAAGTACTGCCAATCAACATTTTATTAGAATGCATGAGTCGGGAGACAGAACATCGAAGCTTTTAAGAGATTGTGGATATGGAATTGAACCCTATTTGTTAACACCGTACAGAGATCCGCGCTATATGTTTTGCGTACGATCCACCGCCAGTTGCCCTAGATTCAGCTTTATTTTGCGCCATCTTCCTTTTCACTTCGCTTTTCCACTCAGTCTATTTCTATAAAAATAAAAACTACAGATTAACAATCTTAGTTTTAATTTTGTGGCAAAATTTGTTTACCTTCTTCCATCCATTAACATCGTTTTGTGGTGGACCTGCACTATTTAGTGATTCTGACAATTGTTGCCATAGGACATCTACTTTTGGCTTATCACACGTTGTGAACCCTTTTGCTAGGTCTGGATACTTCTCCATAAACTCCAGGATAATTGTATTTTGGGTAGTATTTTTATGCTCTCCCTACAAAATAAAAACATCAATGCGAAAATATATATTTTTTAAACAAATATTAAAATAAATCAATTTACTTACATTTTTACAACATATCCCAAAGCGAGCAAATGAAAAGTGACAGCTCAAGCAACTTGGTTTATTTCCAATAACAAAACCAATAACATTGGCTTCTATGACAACCAAAACCGATAAAATTCTAATTCGAAACATTGATTATCATGACCCCAAAGCATTTGTTCTTGTCGTTTTTAAAACCAATAGTGACAAAATTGATTTCTATGACAGCCCTGAGTAACTCCCTATATTCGTTTTTTTATGATTTAGCATTATTTTTTTCTCCAAAATTTGCAAATTTCTTTCACCGTTTTTTTACTGGCTTATCTTTGCTTTAGTTTATTATTCGTTATTTCTGTCTTTTTAGTTTTCACAAATGAATAACTGTTAAACTGTGTGGTTTTATAACAAAATTTTTCCTTTTCTGAAGAAGCTAATTACAGGATTAATTCAACTTTCGATCGGAATCCGTTTCTGCGACATGTCTGATTATTGGGGTTTGAAATCCAAAGGAAGTCAAATCATAATGGTGCAAAAATTACTAAAGTTGGGAATACATAAAGCGCTTATATGGCTGGCTTCTTCGCATATGAACAATGTAGCCTAGAGCCAAAATCGAACTAAGTCAACCTAAAACTCCTTCGTTTATCTACGAAGAAGCCAGCCGATGACTTAAGCCAGTCAAATATGCGCTTTATGTATTTCCACCATAATTATTTTTCATTTTACTTCCATCCCATCACGAACACCCAAGGTAGATTTAACAGGTAACCGCATCGGCGAATTGCTACAACAAAGCAAATTTTGTGGTACCCTCAAATGTCAAAATTGGCATCTAAGGCGAAAAACATACATTCGCCATGAGATTTAAAGTTTGCGGCAAATTTGTTTCAACCAATCAGAAACGAGGTGTTTGTTTACATTTTATTTTGTGTGCCTCTCGTCGTAAACGAACGTCGCAATAAAAGTTTTTATTGTAAAACAAATAAGAGTAAAATAAGTATTAATTGTAGTATTGCGATATTTTTTAAACCATGAAACTTATAATGACTATATTTTACTGGTTTAAACCGAAAGTTTTCCGGAACTGCAAATGACAAGAGTCGAATTCTTGCACTACTTCCCGTGATGTGCTTTGGGAATCTTAGATGTTGAGGCTAACTTAATTCTTAAAGCTGCACTCCATTCTAACCTCCTTCCTTCATTTTCTTTTAATTTTTTTTACAGGTTTCACACTTAACTTGCTCTTAAATTATTTGAAATATTATAAAAAGGTACTTTTAGGGAAGACAACATAAACAAATTTGTTGTTGCATTCATTTAGGGCGAATTCTTCATTACAACAATTTGTTTTGACATTTAATGGTGCCGTCAGCTGGGCTGATGCGATTACCTAGTACATCTACCTTGGCGAAAAACATACATTCGCCATGGTATTTAAAGTTTGCGGCAAATTTCTTTTAACCAATCAGAAACGAGGTGTTTGTTTATATTTAAGGTTGTGCGTGGAAATTAAGCCAAGTAATAATACTACTCTCGGGGGACTATTGTAACAGCCCCAACTTGATAGTTAGCCCACGAAATGTTTGTGAAAAGCCACAACTGTAATTTCTTCTACGTCATCGACAAATACCACTAATATTCCAGCCAATGTTGGCAACCGGAGGTTACACCGACTCCAGCACATGGCACAACAGAAGCAAGTGTTGCCGTTCAAATGGTTTTAAAGAAAGAACATTGCACCAATATCGCCACCAGTAAAAGCCCTCTTGGTAGCAGAGCCGATGCAAATTCCCCAAACCACACAAAGAGTTTTTATAGACCACAGAGAAGTTTGGTGCTAGTAGAAGCATAGACAAATTAGGTATAGATCATGGTAGAAGAATATAGGTAGACGCATCGACAGCTGCTGGGACAATGAACTGTCAAACCAATTTTGGAATTGAAAATGTTGAATGAAAAATTATTTAAATTTGCAAAATTTATTGAAAAACGCGGATTATAATAACCTCCGAATGACGTCTTATAAGAAAACATATAAAAATCTACTTATATTTAAAAAAACATTTACAATTTTCTGACATATCAATACTACCAAGCGTTGATGCATCTACCTGTATTCTTCTGCCATGGTATAGACTAAAAAGTTGTCTCATCGGTGCTCTCTTAACCCGCCAATGGTGACGCTAATTTGACTTTGATTAATGGTGACGGCGGTCTCATGCAGCGGGGTTTTCAACTGAAGTTTTTTCGAAACGTATGACTAATAGTTAATATTTTTTTTTATTATTTATCCCTTTTGACAATAAAATAAAGATATTTAATCATTTTAAGCTCTTTTATTTCAATATTAAAGCTCACAGACATTTTTAAATAGAGCATTAAAAATAACAATGTTTTAGCAATTCATTTTTTAAAATTAAGAAAAAATAAAAAAATCACATATTAATTCAAGAAAATAATGTTAATTAGTCTTTCGACAATAGGAACTTTTATAAAATGAACAAAATTGGTATCCTTCAAAAAAAAAATCAAATATTGTTTCTTGTAGAAGATCTTCAAGCTGACGCTGGAAGCTTTCATAAGACATGCTGTAAAAAAATTTATATTATAAAACACATACATACATACACATGTAAACACACAAGTGCACATATATTTACAATAAAACAGCAACAAATTATAATAAACTTAATAAAAACGCGAATAGTAAAAAATTATTCTTGATTATTTTACTTACACAAACGGTGACTCACGGTCTCACACACCAGGGTAGAACAAAAATACACGAACTTGTGTTCACTAAACAGTTTCGTCATGAACTGACGGTGGGGG